AACATTTTCCCGCCAAAAAATTTAGTGCTCGTGCATAATAACTTAGCATAGCCGGAGACTGAATTTGAAATCTTTAAGATGTACTTGGACGGGGAACACTTCGATAAAATTTCAGCGTCCTAGTTTTTCTGGTTCCCGAGTTAAAAATTTTCTCATCAAAAATTTCATGAATTTGTACGCGCGGATTAGGCATACGTAAAGATTGGTACCGGACAGTTCTAGGGCGGCGCCTGACCAGAGAACCTGCTGGCAAACTTCCAGCCTTGGAGTTTGCTTGGTTGTCGAGTTTAAATATCCGGACAGACAGACCTACATAACTGGAGAACGATGCAGTGCACTACAAATGACCAAAAAATTAGGGTATTTTCCAAAAAAAAGCTTGTAGCTTAGAAATCCGGACTGGGGAAATCCGGATTAAAAGCTGACCAATAGGCAACTCCATTCGTTTCACCACAAAAACCTGCAATTGACGAAATGGCAACAATTTGTCCCTCATTGCGTTGCTCCATCGGACGCAGGAATGCCCGAATCGTCTAAAAAATTGATAATTTCGAAACTAACAAGAAAAATACTATCGAAATTTTTAACCGATTTGTAGTTGTTGAAGGGTAAAAATGTGGGATGGGATGGATTAAGATCAGGGATAACTAATCCGGACACTACATGCACAAATGGACATATTGGAGAGCATACTGCGTTTCATCCCTCAGCTGTAAACACTGACAGAGCGGAGCGTGCAGGCGGAATGAAGTTGAAATGTTAGAAAAAACAGAATGGGCTGGTAAGAGAAAAAGAAATCATCATTGGCCAAAAATGATGCTTCCGGCAGTGCAGCTACACAGTGTTCACACTTCCTGAGCTGAAGCACCACGAAAGACAGGGCCACACAGAAACAGACAAAATCCTACCACAGTTTATTTTCGCGTGTTTAAATGTGCAGAAATATATAAAAATTGTAATCTAGAACAAAATTCCAGCGAGCTATCTAGAAATATACCTTTCTTGTCGACCAGTATCATGAGGGTTGCCAGGGATAAAGATGTAAAGCTTTTGCAATCGAGGTTATAGATGTTTATTCAAATTTGCTCAGTTACGTCGAATGAATTAACATACATTGATGGTACCAATAACATTGACGTTGACCGATTTCTGAATCTGTGATGTTGTCAGATCGAGGATACGCCCGAAATAGAGAACCGCTGCATTGCAGATAACAATGTCAACAAACCCTGAATAACTTGATAATTTTATTTAATTTGATGTCCCGATCAGCTACAGTTCAAAGCATATCTCGGCCAGCTAAAGTTCTCCAGCTACACAGTCGAACACTTTTTCCAGATGTTTCAATACAGCATTGCCTCGTCATTACTGTACTGGAAATTCTATGTTCTTCCCATTTTCTTGAGGGAAGAGCAACTCAGCGTTTCTCCTGACAGAAAAACTAGACAAGGTTTTAGCCGTTCGAAGATGTTATTGGCATTCAAAGAGATGCTGCTTCTAAAACGTCAAAATTCGCCGATATTTTTCAAATTAAAAAATTTTGTTGTTTGCAAATAGCTTTACTTTCGCATCCTTGCCCACTGAGCTGTTGCTGAAAAAGCCAAGTTCCACAGAAGCATGCCTAATCCCTCAAGCTACCGTTATGCGCTACTACTTCAATGCGTTATTTCTTAGACGGAGGCGGACATGGCGCAGTAGCAAGTATCATTACTGTTTTGTAGAGGATCGAGTGTTCGACCCCACTACTTGGACCACTGTCTCTCTATGATTCGCTTATTCATTTCGATCGTAAATTGGTAATGGCGCATGTCGGGGAGTCAAATCCGTCATCAGCTTGCTTCTAAGCAATCCTCGAAAGAAGCCATCAGAAGCTTTGCCAGCGAATAGCTCTCGTTGATACATGCTGCTTCTCAGGCTTTTACTGAGCGTTTTTATCTTTCATTAAAAATAAATTACGAAAGAGGCTTTAACTTTTGATTAACACATTGCCAGCGAACTATAAAATGTATTTCTACTAGCGATTTTAAAAAAAGTATATAAATGAGGTCAACAACACAAAACGAACAATGGGACTTGAATAGGGAAAGAAATTAGGGGAATCCACTGCGATGAAAATTTTGAATTTCTTATTCAAAAAACGATTTAATCTTTTCTTAAAAAAAAGAAAAAACTAAATGACAACTTATATTAAGAGTACAATTCAATGGATTTTGGAGAGACAAAACATGCACGGAGCGGACACGGAAGACAACAGTTGATGACAAAGAGACAAGAAAGAGTCTGAAATGACGAGCAATTTCCGACAGACTAATGAGGGGGCGCACTTCTCGGACATCGATGATTTCGTATCAGTTTTCTTCATTGACGCATTTCGCACTTTTGAAGAAACAACCGGTGCGCGAGAAATGCAATTTCGGGAACACAAAAAATATGACTGCGTGTAAATGACAGAGATAAATTTTTATTAAATACTTTAATCAGCCAATGTTCCTTTGAGAAAGAAATCAACGAAAGCTTTATCAACGAGTGGTTGGTGCTTTGCTACGTCAAGATAATTCCAACTGACTGTGCTTCTCATAGACAGTGAGAGAAGGAGAATACGGATGGATTTTAACTTTGATTTTGATCAGCTCCGTTTCATGGTGTGCTTATTCAGCTATGCAGCTGGCAACTTTTTCAAATCCTTCGACCAGAACTTCTTTAGCCTACTGGCGATCCCACCATTCGTTTCCCCTCTGAGGAGCTTTTCAAATTGCTGCTAAAGATGTTCCCTTTTTCCATCAAACACTTTATCACAGTAGAAACATTTTGTTAAGGATGTGCACAGTTTACGAGAAGAGTAGTTTTTGTTCGGAAAACAGAAGATATGGGATGAAAATGATGATGGTCATAGTGCGCGATGTTTCGAAAAATAGTACGGAAGTGCATCACTAAGTCTTAATCGAAGAAAGATTAAAATATTTTGAAATAAGACCCAAATAGCTAGCATGTGTATTTTAAGGAATGCTGCGCTTGAACACTGACCAACGTTTGTTTAAACCAAAGTTCAAATTCTTAAAAAATAAACAATACAAATTAGCATGAATATTATGAAAGAATTTTTGTTTCGAATTTCATAACGTCCACTTTGTTACAAAAAATATATAGTAAACCATGTTAAGGTGCCCACCGTCGGAATAATCATTCAGCAGATTCAAACTTCACATTCTACAATATGGTATATTACCCAATCATATGCTTACTTTGGCACTTTAATCAATATAAGTATGATATTTTATCCAAGCGTTGTTTCGTCGTCGTGTTTCTTTTCGTCACTGATTGGCAACTTCCCCATTCTTCTCAAATTTAGTCTTCTGCACATGCAGAGTAAGCGCTACACGTATTTGAGCATTATAAACTTTTGCTTTATGTTACGCTATAGGGCTAATTATAAATCCTCGCAAAGACAGTTGATATATGAAATAAATTAGGAAAATACATAATATATAAGAAAAACAGCTAATACTGACAATACAAAATCGATTTAGGCAAAACACTGCCCAGCGTTTAACGGCGAGCGTACTATTTGTTTGGAAATTTTCCAAATAATGGCTTTAATAGGAAAAGGATTGAAAAATGCTATACCGAATGTGGCATAAATTTGTTGGGCACATTTGTCCACCTCTTCCGCGTGGCTTGTATCGCATATCCAGTATTTTGCTATACCGCCTTCGCAAGTAATCCTCTTGGCAGTGTTTTGAGCGCCGTGCTATAAATATGTATTTCTGCTCAACTTCACTGATACTGATGACTGAGGTAACTTCTTTTTTTTTGTTCTTTTGAAAGTAAGATTTGATGTTGTTTTTGTGATCCTTCAGTTTGTGGGCTAAAAATAAAAGCCTTATACAAACATTTTTTAAAGGAGAGGAGGAGATAAAAAGCAAAAATGGGCAGGAAAAGGCGGGAGGAAGCATGTAAAGGAAAACGAGGCACAGAAGGAGGAAAAAAAAGCAGATGCAGCGATGTGCAGAACAGGCGAAAAGAAATGAGTGTGGGGTATTTTTCAAAAGAAGTGAACTCTGAAGGGAGGATGGGAATTATGTAACAAATAGGTACCTTGGTTTCAAAATACTAATAACTTGCTTTTTAAGAAGGGAAGAGGGGAAAGGAACAGCTGTGAATGGAGTAAAAAATTTGGAAAGAAATGATTCAGTCCATTGAGTCGCATGCATTCCTTTTCGGTACCACAACCCGGGATTATTTACTGAGTCCTCGTTAAGTAAGTAAGTAATTGAGTGAACGAATGAGCAAGTAGGTAAGTATTTGTGAATAATACACTAAAAATATGAAAATGGCCAGCGCACGGGCTGCCCGTGCGAAGATGCGTTTTTTGCAGAGTTCCCCGCAGGTTTTT